TAAGCCAAGGAAACAGTGGGAGGCAAGTTGACCTTGAAGAAATTCAAGATTCAAGTGGTGAAGGAACTTCAAACCCTAGCACTCAACCTGAGGAGGAAATTCCTGTTGAGCCAATTGACAAGTCTGTACCTCTGAGGCATTCCACGAGAATTAGGAATGCACCTGAGCATTACTATGGATTCCATATTACTGCGGAAGGTGATACACTTATCAGTGATGAGACACTGATATGTCTCGATGAACCTAACAGTTACGCGGAAGCCATGGCAGGCCTTGAGTCAGCTAAGTGGACAGAGGCAAGGGACAACAAGATACAGTCCATGTATGACAATCAAGTTTGGAACTTGGTTCACAATGTATCAGGTCGTAAGATAGTTGGGTGCAAGTGGATCTTCAAGAAGAAGACCGACATGGATGGCAATGTACACACTTATAAGGCACGACTGGTTACAAAGGGCTTCTCTGAAACTCCGGGAGTTGATTATGATGAGACCTTTTCCCCAGTAGCCAAGATTAAGTCTATTAGGGTTATGTTAGCCACAGCTGCATTTCATGACTATGAAATATGGAAAATGGATGTCAAAACCGCTTTCCTTAATGGAAAGTTGGCTGAGGATGTTTACATGAGTCAGCCAAAGGGTTTTTTCAATACAGAGTACCCTAATAGATTATGTAAGCTTGAGAAATCCATTTATGGATTAAAGCAAGCACCTCTCAGATGGAATCTTTTCTTTGATGAGAAAGTCAAAGAGTTTGGCTTTTCTAGGAGTGAAGATGAATCTTGTGTATATGTTAAGGCTAGTGGGAGTATAGTTAGCTTTTTGGTATTGTATGTTTGATGACATACTACTCATAGGAAATGACATCCCAACTCGGCAGGAAGTTAAGTCTTCGCTTGGGAAGTGTTTCTCTATGAAGGACCTAGGAGAAGCTGCCTATATTCTAGGGATAAAGATCTTGAGAGACCGGAGTAAAAGACTAATTGAACTTAGTCAGAGTACCTACTTGGATAAGGTGCTGAAGAGGTTCAGCATGTAGGATTCTAAGAAAATAGAGTTACCCATCCAGAGTAACACCAAATTGAGTAAGACTCAAAGCCTGCGTACTGAGGCTGAGATAGCATAAATGAATCGAATACCTTATGCTCTGGCTGTAGGATCGATCATGTATGTTATGACTTGTACTAGACCTGATGTAGCCTTTGCTTTAAGCATGGTTAGCATATATCAGGGGAACCCTGGCAAGGCACACTAGACTGAGGTAAAGAATATCCTCAAGTACGTACGGCGGACTAAGGACTGGGTCCTTACCCTCGGTGGGAGTGATGACTTGAGAGTTGTAGGGTATAGTGATGCTAGCTTTCAGACTGATAGGGATAATTTCGGCTCTCAGTCAGGCTGGATCTTTACCTTAAACGGAGGAGCAATTTCTTGGAAGAGTTCCAAGCAAGAAACAGTGGATGATTCAACTTGCGAATTAGAGTATATAGCAGCAAGCGAGGCAGCAAAGGAGGAGATATGGCTGAAGAACTTCATTGGAGACCTTGGAGTTGTACCAGCTATAAAGGAGCCAATGGAAATTTTATGTGATAGTGAAAGTGCAGTTGCCTTAACCAAGGAAGCAAGGGATCACGGGAGATCCAGACACATTGACAGAAAATACCATTTCATCATACATCGAATAGAAGGACTCCTCGTGGCAAAGAGGGTATCATCGGATGAGAATCCAGCAAATCCCCTCACGAAGGGACTGACTCGAGTTAAGTATCTCCAACATGCTCGGAGCATAGGGCTGAAGGATGATATTAGTTTTAGTAGTTAGATAATTTGCAATTTGTAAAGTGTATTTGACATTTGATGAAGAATAAAAGTTGTGTTTATTTATGAGTAAAGTGTTGCTATCTCTTGTCAATCGTTTACTATATTTCTTTTGCATGTTTTGACTTCCAGAATAATTATGTTTGGTATATCATATTATTCGAATTTCCACAGTCGGTCATATGTTGGAAGTAGGTATGAATCAAGAATGTCATGAGTTGGTTTCATAGGTCTAAGTTTTTGGACATGGCTACAACACTCATGAGTATTCATAAGTTCTGAGCATTGGAATCAACCCACGCTCACTAGAATTACTTCATGGAATTTATCTCGAGTGATTGTGAGACGGTAACATCATATAAGTCTTAAAACCTAGAGATATGATTTGTTGCCTATGAGTTGGTTATGCATTGATTATACGAAAACGCATTGGTAACTCGATGTTATAAAACGTGCTTTTGTGTATAATTCAACAAGTAGTAGAGCAAACATATGAGTCGAAGTTTATCTATTCCTTCTTCGATTAGAAGCTGATATCTGGGCTCCTCGATGATTTTGTTTTGACTTATTTACCGGGCCCGGTCAGAACCAAATTGATGTGTTCAATTTAGTTCTATGTCAAACAAATCGGAAATCGGGAAACAAAATGCTGGACAATAAGTAAGACATTGTTCCATGCATTTGTCCGGCTAATATCTAGAATAGAGGATTATATGATCACTTATCTTAAATGGCGTATCATCATCTTCTTAGTTCCGAGAGACCTTGAAAGAGCTACGATTGTTGATCGGTTCCTGAAGTCATACTTGCAGTTATAGTTATTAGACTTATCCAAGTGGGAGACTATTGGATAAGGTGTCTAAGTCCATAACTATTTCTGGTATGTACTTGACCCTACCCGACATGGTCCATTTGGGTTGCATGGCATCATGCATTTTGATAGACTAAATGAGAGAAATAACACTTGTGATTTATTAATATATTATAAGTTATAATATATTAATAGTATTATTTAATTAGTATTGATCAAGAATTAATTAAGTGATCAAAAGATGATTAATTAAATATATGGGTTGATTACATAAATCATTCATAACTTGTATAGTGGGCTAAAAGGCTCCATGGATTATCAAGTTGGGTTAAACACATAGGATGCTCCATGGGTGTTCCATGGGAGTTACAAACCCATGGGCCCTGGAAATGAAGAGCCATGACACATTAGGGTTTACATGGTGTAACCCTAGATATGTCACACTATATAAGGAACATGTTATCTACCAAAATTGGCTACACACAAGAACATAAGAGGGCTAGGCCAATTTTACAAGTGTCTGGATTCTCTCAAAAGTCATTCCAAAAGCATTTGGTGTTGTGTGAAGCATTTGAGGCATCACACTTGGGGTGTTACGCTCACAAGGTTTTCAAGGAATCAAATCAACTACAAGGTATGTAATTCTAGCCATCCTTTAGGATAAAAGTTCCTCATGTATGCTAGATAGGATTATGAACCATGGAAATCATATTTTGCACGTATTTTAGACAAACATAGATCTAAGGTTTATTAGGGTTGCATGTACACTTAGGAAGTGTTAGAATGCTCAAAACCCTTCATTATCTTCTTTTGAACACTTAATCTTCAGACTTGCTTCAATTCCACATCAACTTTCTATTTCTTGAAAGTGCTAAATACATCATATTTTTTTCAAAAAAAAAAAAAAAAAAAAAAAAAAACCCTAACTTTTTACTTTTAGTCGTCAATAAAATTAACATAATGTCAGGAACCTCCCACTAAAGAAAATTAAGTGAAACCATATACATCTCAGTAAAAAAAGTCCTACTTTTCGGCCTTGGGCGATTGACCCATATTTGCAAAAGTAACCTTATTTTGTTTTCCAAGAACACATGGCTCACAAAAGTCAACTAACACTCTTCAGATCTGAAATCTTCCTTTGGGAGTTAGTCGTTGGTTCCTTTTCACTCATATGCCCAAGTTGTATAGTGGATGTCCATCATTATTCTATTATAGTGTTTGCTTCATCTTCATAAATCTCTGACGATATAAAGTACACCTCGTTTTAGTCCTATAACAACAACCAGTTCCCTTCATTACC